AGTACGACAACACAAAATAATCATCTTCAGGGTTAATCATCATCACCGTTAACTGTAACCTAGTGGCCTGCTATTTGTTATCTTTTGAGGGTAAAACTAGTAGTGAGTTTGTGTTACAAACAAATAGATGAAAACATCACAAAGTCATTCAACCGGTAGCAGTGCGAATATTCAAAAAGCAAAATTACATCAAGATGTGGCAAGCACTTGAAAGGCAATTGAGTCGTGATGCAGCAGTAGTGATTGCACAAACACAGACTAATCAACTTATTACCGATCTGATCTGAGCCTCGCATTAGCAAGTTGTTGGGAAAAACAACAACAACAATTTTGTATCTGTCACGTGTTGTAGACAACAGTAGATTAGCATATAAACTGAAGTAAGTGAGAGAGAGAGAGAGAGAGAGAGAGAGAGACACACAGAGAAATGATCTCTGATTTCTCAAGGGATTGTGTCAGCAGTTTGATTTTTTAGAGGCCTGCTCTCAGCAGCAGTGCTAACGGGGCATGCGATTGTTTCCGTTTATTCATGTGAACTTGTTTATTCATTCCGAGCACTGCCAGGTTGTGCTGCTATTTGCATAAATAAACTTGAAATGAAAATGTGTGCACATCTGTGGGGCAAACAGCAGCAGTTACCGAGAAAACTGCTGACCGATTGAATCGATTTGCGCTGGCAGACGAGCCAACTGTGCGAAAGAGAGATTGATTGATGGCCGCCTCAAGTGGTGATGCCAATTTCAATCACACAGTCGCCACTTCAACTGCGGTGAGGCACCACCACCACCGATTAAATGATGCTCAGACTGACTGACTGACTGTCTGCCCGGCTAAATTTCTACTGTCCAGTGTTCAGTTGCGTTGATATCTGCTATTTGCTGACTTGCTGATCATCATCATCGTCAACCAGCAACAACATAGCATCAGAGTAGAAAATCTGACACTGAGAGCTCTCCAACTCCCTAGCGGTCGCGACACTTAAAGACCGCAAACACACACCTCATATCTAATCTTTTTGTCTGCTTGTCGGTCAGAGCGTGTAATTGTTCTGTGTGAACATTTCTGGATCAAGGTCAATGGAGTGTCTATATTTAAAATTCTGCTCAGTATTGTGATTGAGTGCCTGGTGATCACCACACTCTCCACTTTTAGACGAGCTTTTCCTTGAATGTCAATTAATTGTAATTTGTGCCCATTGCTACACTGAACTTCATTAGTAATCACTACTATTCAATTAGTAGTAATAAATTACAGTATCACCTGCTGGTGTACTACAATGATGCAACTTTGTTTAGCTGCAGAATAGGCACGACCCGCAGATAGTGTGCAGTTTCACAGCACACACTAGCAGTAGAAAAAGCTTAGATGCTGAAAATATTTGCAAACTTTTGTTTGTATGTTAGGTTTATTTCCACTGTAAATCACCTTTGCCATCACCGAGTTCACTTACCTGCAACTGAAGCAATGCCCGCGTTTTTTAGTGTTGGTCCAATGGCTTTTTCAGTTGATGCGGCGCATTTGGCTCAATGTCTTCTCAGTGCTTCATTTTTTCTCTATTGAAGCCTGTTCCAGTACAGGCAGCTGCCGTACAATGGATGACTGACAGTTTATTGACACCGCAAAGACGTAAGGTCACGGTAATCATCAGTGTTGTCAGTTTGTAAATATCAAATAAAAGTATTTTTTGTCATTTGATGTCACTCTGTGGTGTTTTCAAGCAGCTCAGTCACATCGTAAAATGACAGTGTTCAGTGTGGTCAGCAGCGTTGACAGCAGCCAGCACACTGTTCACATGCATACTTTCAATGTGCACTGAATATCATAGTACAAACTAGTGGCACACTTTAACTGTGTAATTTTTATTTGCCTGATAACATTTTACTGCTAATTTGAAGATGTTTGAGAAGGGATAAAAAGAGCTCGCTTTCTCAAACAGTTTAATCGCTGATTTGACAAACGACTGTCAATGTGTGCAGGATATGGACAACAAAATGGAGGTGATTGCTAACAATTATCACTACCACCGCCACCACCACCAAATTTGCTCTACTCGATGTGCCTCATTGCTAGTCAATAGCAAACGGGACTTTTTCTTTTTTTTCTTTCCACTGCTCACAATATATTTGTCTAAGATCTCAATTATCATTGGCCCCTTTGCTGCTGCGGCTTCAACTACTGCAACTCACTTTCGCTGTCATTGTCTCACTGTCTTGGTCACATTGTCGCCCAATCTAGGCCATTGATTATGCATACAGACGGCATTCGAGCTGCTCGGGCGCAGTAAGTGCTTGTGGTGGCGTTGATGATGGTGGCGATGGTGGTGGTGGTGATGGTGCTGATGATGATGGTGCCACTACATATGCACACACACAAGCTCATTTGCTAATTCGTAACTATTACTGTTAATTGCTTTCATTATTCACACACAGCACTCTACACAAAAAACAGGCAAAAAGGCAGTCTGACAGTGTGACAGTGATTGTGTCGCACTCTGTCTTTCTTATGTAAGAAGTCTTTTAGTCTGCAGGACAAAATCTATATTCTTGCCAATACCTAATTTGTTCATTTGTCTGTAGGCAGGAGACAACGACGACAGTAGTAGCATGTCTCCTGTCGCTGCTACTCGCCAATTGTGACAATTGCAACATCCGCCAATTGAACGATGTCTCACCTGCAGGACAATATTTTCCCATCACCGATAGCATCATTTGAACAGTGCGGACAATTGCCAACTCACGCGACACATTGAAGAGTGGTAGCCGTTGCTACTGACCACTGGTCAGCCACTGTCGCTTTGCACTACACCGCTGCTGGCCTTTTTGATGATGAGAAATGTGGCTACTGAGAAACGAGAAGAGCAAATTAGTGTAATTAGATTGTTTGCATTGTGTATGGCTACATAATTTATGGTCAATTGAGCCAGGACAAACTAACACAGACAGACAGTGTGCCATTTATCTCGCCACGCTAATGTGTCGCTATTAATCAAAAGACAAGCAAACAGCAGCACTAACTGTGAACTGTTGTGCCCAACTGGCCACTTTGCTGTTCCTTCCCTTAATGTCTTCTCGGTGATTCCAAACCTGTGTTTGGCTGACTGCTGAGGCAAATTGTTGCCTAATTCCTCAGAGCTCCAAGTTCACCTTTAGGCTAACAAGCCTGTGCTCACAAAAGTTCAGGAGTTAAGTGAAAATTATCTACTTGGACAATTGACTCTGAAACGCCTAAACTGTTTCCTCTTTCTGATGTCCCGTCGATTTGTTGCAGACATTGTTGTTCTTCTTTGAGGAAAGTGAGCTTGTTTTTGTAGATGGTGTTTCACTATGCTTGCCCCAAGATTGCCACTTTGTCATCGACTCAAAGTTCAGCACAGTGTTCTCACTGACATTGGTCAGTGTGTGAACTGCTCTGTCGGGCGGTTGCATTCATCATCATCTGAATCATCATCATTCTTTGCCTAAAAGAATGGTTTGTAACAGACATCGATGTCAGCCTGAATGTCAATCACTTGGCAAGGGGCGTCTCTGCACAGACAATGCTCATTATCCTTGTGGGTCATCACTTTCGCTGCTTTTATTATATGTTATTGCATCATCGCTAGATTGCGGCCTACTATTTATTTCTGCTAGCCCTAATTTAGCAATACAAATAATTTGTGAAACGCAAAGAACAAGTAAATTAATCGTCTGATGATAATAATAGATAGCATGATGAATCACACATGATCAAATGGTAAAACAAATTGCGTATTTGACTACAACAAAAATGCCGCAAGTAAACAATCAAATTGAGCAGTAAAAAATGAACGACCTTTACTTAGAATTGATACAATTTTGAAAATATTTTTCTCGAATGCTGAGTTATTTTGAGCAACAAGTTGCTTGAAGTTTCAAAGAAAACTATGATTTAGTAGTGTCCTTTTGATCTTTGACACCTGCTATCTCAGCTATTAGGTCATCAGAGTGACAGTGAGTTTAGTGCCACTGCTGATGCTGCTGATGATGATGGGCAGAAGTGAGACGTCGTAAAACGGTCCTTATCTGCCTTTCACCATTCATCAGTGCAATCTAAATTAGTTGATCAGTTTACATTTTTGCTTTCATTTGCGCTAATTGAACGGTCTATTTAGCAAAGTGAGTGCGCACTATTTAGAACAGTGTAACTAAACATAGACGATCATGTTTTTTCTTCACCTGGCCACTAACGGTGTCACTTCATCTTAGTCTAGCACTTCAAAGCTTTGAAGTTAGTGATGAATTACAGCATGATTGATGACACCGAGGAATGCTTGCACTTACGGCTAAAAACTGAAAATAAAAGAAGAGGGCAATCACTTTTTTTGGTATAGAAAAACAACAAGTAGTTTGGGTGAACTTTGATTAGTTGAAAGATTATACCAAGTTTTTAGCACTATTTTTGGTCAAAACTTAAAAATAATTTGTTTAACAAACTTTCTTCTTCTTTTTCAATTTGCGCAGGTGTCGGCATGGACGACGCCTTTGTGCTGTTGGCCGCCTGGCGTCGGACGCCCACCAGCATGACCGTCCCTGAGCGACTTGGGCATACGTATGCGGAAGCCGCCGTCTCGATTACCATCACGTCCCTGACCAACTTTATTTCCTTCATGATCGGCATCATCACTCCGTTTCCTTCGGTAAGTGTGCTCACTTACTCATTCACTCGCTCAGTTAGTCAGTCAGTGCAAAAGCTGCTACAAACATGTGTTTCATCGTGGTTAGTGGAAGTGTATTTATATTTATAGCCCACACAGTCTCAGGAGTAGTGTAGTGCCACACTGTCAATATAATCAGATCATGATTGAAAGAGATAGGCAAAGTGAAAGTGTAAGAGTGTAGTGATACAAAGTGTTACAGATTTTGAGAAGTTAAGCATCTAGCATTTATTGGCCAAGTGTCCTCCACTGTGTCCTCCACTAAACCCCCAATTTTCTTCTTCTTCTTTTCATCTCCTTTTAATTCTTCTTTTTCTTTTGCCCACAGGTTCGCATCTTCTGCATCTACACGGCGGTGGCCGTTCTCTTCACCTATGCCTATCACATAACCTTCTTCGGCGGACTGATGGCTTACTTTGGCGACGTCGAGCGGCGCAATCTTCACGGCTTGATCTGTGTACCGGTTGTTCCGAAATCGCTTGCAGGTATGACACACATGCATGCCATTACCATTCGGCTAGCAAAAGGAGAGAGGGGGCTGGGAGACGATTGAAAGAAAGAAGGAGGGAGAGCTTCAGTCACTGCAACGGCACTGCACTGACAGCGGCTCAAGTGGTGCCGGTAATGATTGCACTACTACTGATCGGTGCAACGGTGCCATTGCCGCGGTCGTTGCTGCTGCTGCTGATGCTACTGTGTGCATGTCGTTACGCTCTTTGCTGCTTATGATCGCCGCTGAACTAATTGCCCGTACTACTTTATTTCAATTTACCGTGTACTAATGCCCTCTCTCTCTCTCCTTTTCCTAAAATGTTTTTTCAGTGGACAAAGGTCTCTTCTTCCGGTTGCTCTGCACCGGCGGGCGCAATCCCTCGGACCCGGACAATCCAAAGGACAACAAAGAGCACATGATGATCGTCTTCTTCCGCGACGTGCTCGCCGCCTCCCTCAACAAGCCCTTTACCAAGATGGTGGTCATCTTCTGCTTCCTCGTCTACCTGGCCATCGGCATCTACGGCTGCTCCATCATCAAGGAGGGCCTGGACCGACGAAAGCTCTCCCGTGACGACTCCTACTCGGTGCAGTTCTACGACATTGAGGACAAGTACTTCCGCGAGTATCCCTACCGAATTCAGGTGGTCGTCAATGAGACGATGAACTACGCCGACCCGAAGGTGCAGCAGATGATGGAGGACATGCTGACCAAGTTTGAGGCAAACCCCTTTGTGGCCGATCGCTCAATGACCGAGTCATGGCTGAGAACGTACTTGACCTTTCTCGGTCAGGAGGACAGTTTCCTCTTTCTTCAGGTGAGTGCCTCCTCTTTTGCAACTCTACTTGTTTGCTTTTCACTACTGTTACTAACCGTTTCATTGTGATGTTTTTTGTTACAGGCGTTGAATGTCACCGAACAGCAGGACTTCTACCGCGGACTGCGCGACATCTTTCTGCACTTTCCTCTCACTGATCAGTTCCGCTATGATGTGGTCTTCAACGAGGACGGCACTGAGATCATCTCCAGCCGATACCTCATACAGACGAAGCACATCATGGACGCGAACATGGAGAAAGAGATGCTCATCTCGCTGCGTGAAATCGCCGACAGCTTTCCCTTTCCGGTCACTATCTACCACCACTACTTCATTTTCTTCGACCAGTTTGTGCTGGTGCGCACCATTTCCATTCAGACGATCACCGTGGCGGCCATCGTCATGATGGTCATCTCTCTCATCTTCATTCCCTCGCCCTCCTGCGCCATCTGGGTCGCCTTCTCCATCATCTCCATCGAAATCGGCGTCATCGGCTACATGACCCTGTGGAACGTCAACCTCGACTCCATCTCCATGATCAACCTCATCATGTGCATCGGCTTCTCTGTTGATTTCTCAGCGCACATTTCCTACGCCTACTACTCATGTGATGAACGGACCCCGCGAGATCGTGTCCGCTCTGCGCTCACCTCTCTGGGCATGCCCATTTTCCAGGGCAGCGTCTCCACAGTTCTGGGTATCATCGCCCTCGCCTTTGCGCCCTCCTACGTCTTTGTCACCTTCTTCAAGACCGTCTTCTTGGTAATGCTTTTTGGCGCCACCCACGGCGTGCTCCTTCTCCCAGTGCTGCTCTCACTCACCGACATCTGCCGCAGTGAGCCAAAAACCTCCGAAGAGGTGCTCACCGCTGAAAGCCCCGATCGGAAGCACCTGCCGCACCACCAGCCGCACTTCAAGTCGGCCAATCTGGCCGTCGTCCACAAGGACTCGCCCTTCTTCACTACCGACAAGTACTTCAACGGAAAGGCGATAGTGCACAAGACCGGCGGCCCCATTTACATTCCCAGGCCGTCCTTCATCGGCTACGAGATCGCCGCAGACAACAACCCACACCTGGTTAAACTCAGCGGCCGAAACAACAGCAAAGGGGCGGTAGTAGATGACGTCAGTGTGGAGGGCTCAAAAAGCCTTTCAGTTTCTGATGGCAGCGTCGCCGCGGAGAAGGACCTCGGCCTGGGCACCAGTGCTGAGGAGTGCAGTGAAAGCAGCTGGAAGGGCGGAGAGAAGAACAACGATGAGACGATCATTCAGAAGCAGCCAGGCAGTCATCTCAAATCAAACAAACTCAGTGGAGCCGTGGCAGCAGCCGCCGCTGCTGCCGCTGCCGCCGCCGGTCAATCGGTGGAGCAGTGGAACGAACAGCAGCTGAACCCACACGTCAACGGCGGATACGTCAGCGACAGCGCCGACGCCGACGTGGACGGCGACGGCGAGTTCAGAAAGCCGTACATGGGCGTAGGCATGAGCCGCAGCAAGAGCAGCGACATTGCCGAATCGAGGCGCGTTCACCGCCACAACAAGAGCGGCGGCGGCGGAGGCCACTGGGCAAACGGGAAGCCACTGCCCACCTCCTATCAGCAGCAGGCACGCCTCGGTGCCTACCACGACGCTGCTCGCTCCAACTTTGGGGCCCCCAGCAGCTTCAGTGGTCATCTGGAGCAGAGACATCACCCGAGTCGCAGCTCAGCGGGCGGCAACTCTCGGCATCGGCCGGTGCAGCACAGGCAGTCTGCGGGCAATGGTGGTAATCAGATGATGCACCGCAGCTCAGCCTCTCGGTACCCAGAGAACACGCTTACCGCCGATGAGATGCAGCACATCAGATCAGGTGGTGGTGCACTGCAGCCGTCCTACTTTGACTACGACTCCTACTGGGACAGTGAAACGAGTGCAGTTCGGGGTGGAGGTGGTGGTGGTCATCACTACCGGTAGTAAACGCCACAAAATGACCTGATTCTAAAGCTAATCTCTTCCACTACCACTGCTCGCTCAACTTTGCTACTGCTGTGCACCTGATCTTGTTCCTTCTCTCACGTGCAATGTTTGGTTCTTCCCTTTTATTTATTATTAACTCAACTGTGCAGCACCGAAACTGTGGCTGCACTACTTCTTTTTCTCATCCTCTTCTTTTTCTCGATTGCACCACCTGTTCACTGCTGCTGTATTGAGCAGTCCAAGTTGAGGTTGGCCGAGCATTTCGATGGTTTCCAAGTGTCAAGTTTTTCCTCTTTTTCCTTTTTCTGTTTTTTCAATTGACTGGCTATAATTGATACACCTTCTTTAACTCTTGTACCCTCTGGCACTTTTTCTCTTTTTTGTTTGGAGCATTACACTTTTTTGTTGCTGTTGTTGGCGGAAAGTCATCATCACCACTGGAATCATCGGGGCGGATTGCCACCACCGGACGACCTACACCGTCTCTGTGCTGACTGTTGAGAGCTACAGTTTTTTTCGTTCTTTTGTTGCTCGACAAACCACGAGAAATGTTGATATATTACTCGTGCCAAACTACAACACGTTCTCTACTACTCGGCAAATGTTATGTACACATTCACAGCCACACACCCCCCTAAACAGAAACTCCTGCTGTTCTCTTGTTGCAGCTCTACATATCGTGAATATAGCAGACAGAAATCCGATCTAAACGAACAAGCCCACTTTCTTCTTTTCCTCTCATTTTACTGTATTTTTTCTCCAATGCGTGCAGCGTCTTCATTCAGACAACCGAAACACACACCCACTTACCTTGCAAACTACCTTCACCTACTGACAGACTCACACACACATTGGTCCTTGCAAACAAGCCACTTGTTTTTCTCCACTTGTAAATATTTCGTTTTAGCCTTTTAATTAAAAAATAAATTTTAAAACATTTTTGTTTGTGCTTTTTAAAAAAAGGTTTCTGGTCATTTCAGAAAATAATTTAGAGTATGAAAAAATTGCTTATTGCATTGCTTCCCGCAAAAAAACCTTTTGCCATTTAACACTTGTGCTCCGTTCAAAAGTATCAGTCAGTCTTGCTTGCTTTACAGGCTTGTTCTCCGCGCTAAAATAGTGTGCTGCTTTTGATTGGTGCCTCTGTGCAGACAGTCACATAGACGGGAAAATTTTCTCATTCAAAAAATAGGTCAATGGGCTTCCGGCAGTGTGTGTCCCACTAATCTTGACCATCAAAGTTGAAGTAATCAATCACCTTCTTGTCTTTGTTTTCCTCACTTGAAGTCTTTACCTTCACCACTGATTGTTTTGGTCGCAACTGATTAGCATCCACATTGATCGCCTCGAGGAGAGACACTTCCGGAATGAATGATGTCTTTGAGGCTGTTACACTACAAAAAATTAATTAAATTACAGCTTACTGATTGCATAAACAGATCGTTTAACCGCCGCCGCCACTGCCACTTACATTATGCTGCGATTTGGTTCTCGATCCACTGACTCCGATTTGCAGCCAAAGACGGCGGCCATGTTGTGCAAAATCTCGCGTGCATTTCGATTCATCGGCGGAAAGTTGTAGCACATTGTCTTGCTGTTGCTCTGCAAATTAGGTAAACAAAAAAATTAAATAGGTTAAGAGCAGCCGTAATGTATGCCAATTGATGTGCTACCTTTTTGAAGTTCACCAACAACATCACCAGTTTATCGTGAATGGACAAAATGAGCTGCGGATTGGAGCGCGCCTCATTCTTGAGAAAATCCGAGTACTTAACCACGGGAAAGTCCGAGTGACCCTCAATGCCGAGCGCCTCGGCGAGCTCCCTGTTTCGCTTCTCCTTGGCGCACTTCTCATCGCAGTCCAACTGGTGAATGGTGTTGTACTGCACCATCTGCTTGATCTCATTCAGCGTTATCGCGTCAAAGCTGTACCGAGTGACCATGCTGTCGACGGAGGCCTGAAACTTCTTCGGATCGTTCACCTCGTGGCACTGCAGCTCCTGGCTCTTCAGCTTGCACTTGCAGAACACCTTCACCACCTCCTTGCACCGACTTTCCGGACAGCTGCTGCTGCTGGCAGAGGAGGTGCTCTGGTGGCAGGGAAGGGCACACAGATGATCACAGCCCAGTCGAGCTTTGGTGCACTTCTGAGTGCACACCGGACAGTCGCCCTGGTGGCAGACCTTTACGCAGTGATGCATGCCGCAGGCAAGGGCCTTCTTGCAGAACCGCCCACAGGAGACCCCGGTCTGGTAGCAGGGCACCGTGGTGATGGTCTCGTGACCGCCGTAGCACTGTCGGCTGACAAACTCAGTGCAGGGCGGACACTGTGGGTCGTCGTGGCACTGGTGAGTGGGCGGGTGGGGGCACTGGTGCACACGGGCGCAGGGCTCAGTGCAGGGCGGTCGTTTGGTGCTGCAGGCCAGTGGAGGGTAGAGGACTTGCTCGCCGCAGTTGCAGTACACCTCAGTCCAGATGACATTCGGGCAGGACTTGCAGAAGGAGTGGCAGGGCTGAAAGGTGACCGAATCATAAAAATGGTATCAAAGTAAAAATAGGTCAAACAGCTTTACCTCGTCGCAAGTGTGACTGCCGCAGTCGAGCTTTCGGCCTGTAATGAAAAGCAAACAAATGAATACGAGTCACCCTCTAAGAAGGTAAGGTCAACATTACCACAAACTTGGCGACAGGTGTGCTCCTTGTCAGTGCAGCACTCATTAAGACATTTGTGTCGCCCACAGCTCAGCTTCTTGTTACAGCGACGCTTGCACTTGAAGCGACTTGAGGTGACGTCCTTGCAGTCAAACTTTTGCGAGTTGGCGCCACACTCGCAGCGTAGAATGGACTTCTGCGGACAGGGCGGACAGGCGCCAGAGTGACATTTCTCGGCACAAAAATGCGGCTCAGCCTCAGTGCCGCACACCAGTCGCTTATTGCACACTTTGCTGCAAGTGGGAATTGGATCAATGCACAGCAGCCTGTTCCTGCCGTTGAGCAGCTCAGAGACGAGGGTATTTCCGCAGGGACAGTTCTTGACGATGGCAGGGTTAAATGGACAGGGGCCACAGCTGCCTGGGTGACAGTCATCTTGGCACTGGTGGAAGCCACAACCCAAACGCTTGGAGCACTTTTGATTACAAGAAAATTGTGCAGACTGGCTTGAGCAGGCGATTTCCTCTTTAGTCTCCTTTCCGCAAAAGCATTCCAAATCGAACTTCACCTGACAAGTATCACAGTTACCAAAGTGGCATTTGAGCTCGCATTTGTGCTTCCCGCAACTCAGTAGCTTGTTGCATTGCTCGTCGCATTGAATCTCGGAAATTTTAGAAATGCAGCTTGTAAAAACCTTCGTCTTTTTGCAAGAGCAGGTTCGCTCCACCTTTGAAGAACAGGGTGCACATTTGCCAGGGTGGCACTTTAGTGTGCACTTGTGCGAACATGGAAAGGTGTCCACTTCATTTTCACCCTTATCATTGAAAATGGCCAGTGAACGAGAGCAGGTGTTGCCGCAGGAGTGAGGCAAGTGCCAGGAGTTACTCAGCTCAGGATCCTTCACCTTTCCACAGAAGCAGTAGTACGCGTAAGGAAACTTCTTCTGGACGCACTGGCAGGTAGGACATCGCCAGTCACTGTTTGCTTGGCGGTTGGTTCGTCGATTGTGGCCATTCTGAGCTGACTGGCCACCACCACCACCACCATTTGCAGCGGAACCATTTTCATTGGCTGCGCTGCCGTTTGCCGAGTTTGCAGTTGCGGCATTACTTTCGGTGACATTCGATTGTCTAGCCCACATCTGCATGCACTTTAGGTGAAAGACATTAAAGCAGTTGGAGCAGTTCCAGGTCTTTTGACTGAACTTTATGGCTTCGCAGCAGACAATGCACTCGTACTTGGCCTTGCTCAGAAGTTCGCCCATTATTTCACGTTGGCTTTCATTTACTTTGTCCTTGCCGTTGCTGTGCCTCTCATTGCCGGATTGATTTCGGTTTGGATGCTGGTTATGCTGACGATGCCCATTGGTACTGCTCGGGAAGTTGTTTCGTCGATTTTGCACTGGAGGTCTATCCAACATATCGCCATTAACTACATTTGGTCGCCCCATGTGAGAGCGTGATTGCCCCAAATTCATCTGACTGAATGGTTGTGCTACATCATCTTGCTCAGAGTTTTGGTTGTTTGAATTTCTGTTTCTGTTTGAATTCGAATTATTTGGCTCAGGTCGACGAAACCCGGGCTTTTGCTGCTGTTCTGAATGGTTTTGATGAGTATCGTTGTGCAATCGAGCAAATCGAGGCGGTAAATCATTTGGCTTGTCACTAGAGTTGCGGTTCATGTAGTGGCCTCGATTGTTTGAATTGTATCCGGACTGTCGACCATTGCTTTGGTAAGAGCTGCCTTGTTCGTTTTGTCTGCGCTCGCCATGCGGGCGATTTCGGGGGTTATAATTACGGCCATCCCGGTTGCCATGAGAAGAATGAGCATCTTCAGAAGGATAACTGTTGTTTGAAGAGCTCGACATCTGCTGCTCTGATCTGTAATCGCTATACTGGTTCGGGTACCTAGAGCGCAGGTTTGGAGGAGGAACAAAGTCCTGCTGAGGGAACCCCCGTGAACCCTGGTGTTCCCGTCGACTGTGCGGTGGCTGTTCCATGGTGAGACTGAAAGAAGACAATGAGATAAGTTCACCTGCATGGTCAGAAGTTGGCAACCCTGTTCACCCTTAAAACGTGGATAGTCTTCGAAAGCGAATTTGGCGGATAAAAGCTGAAGTTCAGTGGATGCTAGTAGTGGCAGTAGTTGTCGTTCAGGTGTTGAGCAAGGACAGGCCGCTTAAAAGTGAGAGGAAGCCAACGTTGGGGAAGCGCCGCTGATAAGGCTCCGCGGATGCGGACAGACGACGACGCGACGACAACACAACGTTGCTGCACCGGAGGAGGCCAGCAGTTTCTGTCTCTTTTTTCAGTGCAGAAAGTTGCCGTCAACTGGAGCCTGCACTGCAGGCGACGGCGGCGGCGCCGTGTGCGCAGTCTCGCAACCACGACGCAACAAACAAACAAAAACACTCTGTTTCGCTCACTCACCTGCGCCGTCATCTTTCAAGTTTTCCTCGTCTTTATATTCTTTTTTTAACGATCAACATGGACATCAAGCTGGAGTCCGATGATCAGCTGATCAAGCAGGAGTCCTTTGAGGAGGAGATTTACTCGTTGGGCAACGATGGCCAGTTCCAGCTGCAGTCGACTGGACTCGGAGACGAGCACTCGGAGATGGGCGCTCAGGAGATGATGAGCGAAGGAATGAACGGCGACTTTGGCTCAACTTCCATGGCTGCCAAACCCACTAAGCGAGCTCGAAAATACAAGTCTAAGGCTCCCTCGACCTCGGCAAACAACAAGACATCGGACATCAGAGCCAAGCTTGAGCGTAGCCGTCAAAGTGCGCGGGAGTGTCGAGCGAGAAAGAAGCTTCGCTACCAGTACTTGGAGGATCTGGTCTGCAAGAGGGAGAACAATAACTTGAAGCTGAAAAAGGAAATCGAGCAGGTACTTATTGACTATTTTCTGAACAGTTTTTAACCTTTTTATACTTTTAGTTTAAAAATCTTATCAAGATGTTCTCCCGTGGATGCAGCAAGCCAGAGCTTGACAAAAAGTTGGCTGAACTCAAGTTAAATCACCTTCTCTAATCACCGCCTTAAATACATAATATGAACAGTAGTAGTACCATGATTACGAAAGAAGTTCTGCAATATTCGTTACAAGATTTTTATTTTCTGTAAATACGTTGTCTTGTGCTGACTATGAACATATGTTTATTTGACATTGAGCCTTTATATTTTTATCTGNAAACAGTACTACCATGATTACGAAAGAAGTTCTGCAATATTCGTTACAAGATTTTTATTTTCTGTAAATACGTTGTCTTGTGCTGACTATGAACACATGTTTATTTGACATTGAGCCTTTATATTTTTATCTGAATCTTTAGTATACTTTTCATATATTTAACAATCGTTTATATGGCAAAGTTGGCCTCAATAACAAAACTAGTGTTTACGAAGTTAAACAAAATAAAGAATCACTACTTTTTATCTGCATCTTTTGCTTCTTGTGCTTCCTTTAGTACTTGTGACTTGATGCCAATTTTAAGGAGGTCTTCAATCAGTTCGCCGTTCTGGTGCTTCTCCAGGAGAATGTCGCAGCCGCCGATGAACTCGCCGTCAATGAAGATTTGCGGAATAGTAGGCCAGCTGGTAAAGTCTTTGATGTTTTTTCGAAGCTCTTCAGAGGAGAGCACATCATGTGACTGGAAGGGAACACCGTGCATTTTGAGCACCTAAAATTGGGGAGGATTTTTTTGATGAGGATGTTCAGCTGCGTAGGAGGCATACCATGACTTACCTGGACGACGGCGTTGCTGAAGCCACAGCGCGGAGCATCAGGAATGCCCTTCATGAAGACGACGACTTTATCACTCTTGACAATCTTTGAAATAGAATCGGCGTCATAGGAGACGCTGGTACCGCTCTGGGGATTCGTTGAGGCCAGACGAGCCAGCAGGAGGGACCGGCCATTGGCGGGCATCAGCACTCGACTGAAGATGGTGCGCGTCAGCGAGATGGAAGACATCGTTCTGGAAGGCAGTCTGCGGTGATGTGGTGAGGAAAAAAGTAAGGGCCGGAGAGGGGCGTTTCAAGGTGGCTGGTGCAACACACTGGTTGAGACGAGCGACCTTGCGGGAGGTGGTGGTGATGGTGGTGGTGTTGATGGCTGGAGAAAGCGAGTGCCAGTCACGTAGACACAATACGCGAGAAATAGATTGAGAGAGCACACTTTTCTCAGCTGTGTCAGTCCGTCTGTCCGCCCGATTGCAGTGGCTGATTTAACCCAGTGCAGGCTGCCTCGTGCAATGGTCTTGCAATCAAGGCGACGGTGAGATGATTATCTGATGAAGGCCTGCTGCCACTCCCACCAAACTTGCTAGTCTCTTCTGATGAGGCTGTCACCGCCCCACCATCACCTGACATTCCTGTTTTTGTCGTGGGTACACGCGAACTTACACCAGTTTAACGGTATTGTCTGTGCACATGTACCAGGCACGTGCACCTCTTCAACGGTTGCGATTACATCGATGACGACTTTCCTTTCTCTTCTTGGCCTGTGCTACTGTGTGTTTACCCACCTCCAGTTCAACCGCCATTTATTTGGCAAAATCTGGTGTCATAGCAGCAGGCGCCTTTGGTTAGTTTACTTGCCGCTCACCAGGTCGCCCAGCAAATTGCAAATGCATTTTCGGATTCAGCAGAGTGTACTGTTCACTGATGTGTTACTGCTCCAGTGTGGCGAATATTTTTTTAAAGCATGCAGAAATGTAATTTGGTGAACAAAAAGAAGCAGTTTTTTGCGCAAATATGCACGAATAGACACAGAGATATTTCCAGTTGCAATCGGTTATCCGCTTGGTCGATTGATCTCATTGTCTGTGACAGTGCTGCTGGTGGTAGTGCCTATTGACCGAATGCGAAAACGGATGCGAACGTTGTGGCATTTGCGGTCAGAGCAGTTCGCTGGTCTGGCATTCCCAATTATGAACTCCATTAAAATTCCCTCTGGCCATTGAGCCAGGGAGGAATGAATTCCAGTGGCCAATCGATGGGACAAGCACTTTCCACTGCGGGTGCATTTTCCAAGTGCACTGTTGCGCCGGGACCAGAGCTGCAGACAACTGTCACCAGACAATCGATCAAAGCAGAGGACACTCGGAAGAGAAGCACAATCAGAACATCAGAAATGAGCAGAAAGTGGACAGGAAAGGGCTGCTCAATGGGCACAATTCCAAACATGCAATCACACAAATCTGTATCTCGATTTGTAGCCTTCAGTACTGCCGTTCCTCAAAAGCTGATTTAAATCGAAATTAATATTTACGTTTATCAAAGAATCTCCGCCGAGTGTTGAGTGACCATGCTACTGATGAGCTGCTCGAAAATGCAGCATAAAGTCGTTCATTGCTCATTTTCGGACAGTGCAATTAGATTGGANAAATCTCCGCTGAGTGTTGAGTGACCATGCTACTGATGAGTTGCTCGAAAATGCAGCATAAAGTCGCTCATTGCTCATTTTCGGACAGTGCAATTAGATTGGAAATCCGATTGGTCAGCAGAGAATAGAAGGACAGTGGCCTGAGTGAGCAATAAATCAATTAACGGTCAAATTCACCGAAAAGCCGAATGCACTTGCACTTGCAGTTGCTTGCACACACTCTTTCACTCTGACACTTTCTCGTTTGCCACTTTGTTGTTGTTGCAACCTGCATTTCATATTTGCGTCAGCAAGTTGTTTATAGTGAAATGAACAAGACTAGGCAAATAAACAAGCATGTCATAAAAATCAATTAGCAGAGCAAACAGAGCCAAACGGACTGGTGCACTGCTTCTCTCAGGGGTACCAGGCAGCCACTGAACACAGTGTCGAGTGGGGAGTCCTCTCTTCCTTTCTCTGTGTTTGTCCTGCCAACTCGCTCTTGCTGGTCGATGTCTTACTTTGTCAAGCGGCTAAATTGTTTTATATGCGTTGAAAAATTAAAAAATGCTTCCTAGTGTGTCCATCGTGCGGAAGTTATTTTTTAAATGTTGCCATTCTTTTCACTGACAGACAATCGAGCAACTGAGGAAAAGTTGCCTTTGCGCTGCTGTCGTACAGCACAGATTTCAGTTCATTCGGCCATGCAACAGCAGCATCAGCAGAAGCAGCAGGCCTCGGAGGGCCACCATTTGTGTCTTGCCACTGTTGTTGTTGTTTTTGTTGTTGCTGATGCCTCTTTACTGGTTGAGAAAGTCAACGGAACGTAACATATACCCTCACTTTTTCAGTGGTCGACAAGAGCAAGAAGATAACGCGCGCGCGTCGCACTTCGGCACTTGAAAGCTTTTCGCTTAAGAGTTTTTCGCCCGTTCTACTTCTCCTTCTTCAATACTTCCTTTGACTGCCAACAGCGTTCTGGAACACGGCTTGGGCAAATGTTTGTATTTGTAATGCAAACCAGTGCTTGACAGGCACCAGTCGTGACTTGCCATTCGATAGTTTCAACACACGGTCACAGTCTTCAGGAACTGAAGAAAAAGAAGAAAAATACGCATTTGCAAGATCAGCATCAGCAACCACTGAATCATCTGGCCGCGCAGCAGTAAGTGAATTTGATGGGAGAAAGAAGAAAGAGCTGCTTTGGGATTTTTAGCAAAGTTTACAATTTGCATGTCTTTCCATCTCCTCTGTTGTCTGTGACTCACAATGTTTGAATTTCACTCTGTCACCCGTTTACTCATCCACTCAAGCAGTGCCGCACTACAGTGATCGCCTTTCTCAACAGCGCAGACATTTTCTTTTCTTTAAAATTGAATATTTTACCAGTCAATAGACAGTTTAATTGCCACTTTGTATGTGCATAGTCAATTGAATTGCATTATTTTTGCTTTTTTACAAATACAAGCAATTGTAAATCTTTAGTGTTTGTAGCTTTTGAACAATGTTGCAAGCTTTCATTCTCAAACGATAGACGGTCATTAGTGATCTAATTTTAGCTGGTTGATCTTCTTCAGGTAGTAAATTGGCAGATGGCCGCTTCTCTGTACCGCTTTTGATGTCGGCCCCTTCATGGGAAAAAAGGAAAAAGGAAAGTCCCTCCTACTTTTCCCATTACTTACCACACTTAAATTTAGTTGTTTGGTAATTGTTGTTTGATTGTTTATCTAAATCATTACCGTTTCTTTTTTACTCTATTTTCCTGTTTTCTAAGCATCAGCACTTGAAATGGCACAGTGCAGTGAAGTTTTCTCTCACTTGTACTGTTTGTGCACAATGACAATCGAAAATATATTTAAATTGAAGATAGCCAAATTGATTTAGAAAAGGGTACTGTTTGGAAAGTGTTTGCAAAAGTGAAGGATTGAAATAAATTAATTTAAATTTTAAATTACACATAATCGACTTGTAAATGGGCGAATCGTGGCACACACTGTCAGATTGTGACGGAAAGGGGGTACTGATTGAAAAAACGTAAAAGCAGTTGGCACCGGCACTTTCTTCGGTGACGAATTGTCTGAAAGACTGTCAGAGATGCAGAGATGCACCTCACCGCTCACCGGACACCCATTATCCCTGGGCTGCATTGAATTCATCATGCCTTATCATTACTAGCATTTCACTGCTGTGCTTGTCAGTGCGCCACGGCACCACCATTTATTGATATTCCTTTCTTCAATAATAGCCAATTTTTTCTCAATTTTTCAAACACTACTAAAAGCTTCCAATTTTTGCGTTTTTTCCTCTTATGACCTCCTCACCAAAAAAGTAGATAGACTTTCAATTTAATCAAAATTGCTTCGTTTTATTAAAACGGCAACAGATCGAATCTGAGTTTCACATCTTTTTTGCTTTTGCTCATTCTTTATCTATTCTTTTCAAATAGATTTACTGGCCGTTCCTCGTGCCCAGTTCTTCACTAGTAGGACCATTCAATTGACTGCAAGTGCTCGTTGTTGCTTCAGCAAATCAAAAGCACACACTGTTTGTGTCGGCTGAGAGCATTCAGTTATTAAATATTTATATTCACCAGCGTTTCCTTTACTTTCTCACCCACTTTTTGCCAACTTTTCACCCCCAACTCTCGATTAAGAGCAAAAGTCGATGCACTCTATACATTAGAAAATGTATTCTTATTTATTCTTAGAGCCACTTATTATCTGTGTCTACCCTACTTTCTGAATCGTGATATCGATATTGCTTTGCTTCTGAGCTTTGTTTGCAGCCCTTGCCGCATGCAAACACTTTTGCCGGCGCATTGTACCGTTAATCTCTAAAAGATGACTTGGCCAATTTATTATGAAAGCAAGTGCAAGAAAAGGTGCCAAATGAAAGGAAATAAGAGTGCTGAACCTTTTTCTGGAGTGCTGTTCTGTTTTTTCAGTGTACTGCTTCGTCTTTTCTTTACTTCTGTACAATTTCATTTGCACTATACGTTAGACGGAAAATCTGACAATGCCTTTAATTGGCGCCTGTTTTCCGCTAGTTTCTTTATTGCAAAACTCTACTAACAGTTTTGGCAGTACATCACCGGAAACAGCAGCAAAGTCAATGTGCATGCTTTTTACTACATCTAATCTTTTTTATTATTATTTTCGGTTTTCACCTGAATGGATTCAAAGTCAATGTGATGGTGTGTGCAATAGTCAAACAAAAATGTTTCTAAAGCAATCACAAAAGAAACGGTGATTTATTGTAATCACTTCAGTTTTGGCAACATGCTTCTCAGCAACACTTCTGACTGAGTGCTGTTTTGTCTTCCGATTTCAATCGATATCAATTTTTAATCAAACAAATGTAGGGCACTTCACCACGTTCAGAAACCAATCAACTCTAGGCTTTATTCAAGATAAAACCACTTTGATTTTACCTTTTTTGGCCATTTGCTTATTGAAAAATGTTTCATAACCAAGCTATATGCTGGCTAGATAGGTGAGAGTGCTGTTACAGTTTTCAGTAGATGAGGCTCGGCACTGATGATCACAATTCTTGTTGTCGCAAAACAAGTGGATCAAATGATCTCAACGCAACTAAATTTTGCCTGCAAA